CAGATATTGCTGTACCCGAAGTGGAGGAAGATCAGGTTCTGGTCAAGGTGGTAGCTGCAGGACTTAATCCAGTTGATTTCAAGAGGATGCTTGGTGCGTTCAAATCTCCTCTACCAGTAAGTCTCTTTAATTTCTCTAGCTTGCTTACTTTTCTTTTCTTTTCTTTTTCAGATTCCCTTTTTTTCAAGATTTTTCTTGTTTATGGTTCTTTTTTTCTCAGATCATTCCAGGGTATGATGTTGCTGGTGTGGTGGTGAAAGTGGGAAGCAAAGTGAAAAATTACAAGGAAGGAGACGACGTGTATGGGTTCACTAATATTCAGAAATCCTTTCAGCACCCAAATATACCTGGCACTTTAGCAGAGTACACTGCCATAGAAGAGAAGCTGTTGGCTCCGAAGCCCAAAAACCTGAGTTTTGCTGAAGCTGCTGGGCTACCTTTAGCCATTGAGACTGCATATGAAGCCCTTGAAGAAATTGGATTTTCTGCAGGAAAATCTATTCTTGTCTTAGGAGGTGCTGGTGGGGTTGGCAGCTTGGTAATTCAGGTATATATAGACTTGTTTTTGTTCATTTTTTTCAAACAAAGACATAAATGGAGAGAAAATCAGTAGAAAGATGAAGAGCAGAACATATTCTATAATGGGAGTTGAAGTATACAAAGTACTCTAAGAGCATTTAAAACTTTTTATTTAGATGTTTAATTACTTGTATCTGGTTGTACCCTTTCTTTGGACCTGGGCAATACTCAGCTGGCCAACCATATTTTTGGGGCATCTAAAGTAGCAGCTACTTCAAGCACAGTGAAATTGGACTTACTGAAGAAATTGGGTGCTGATTTAGCAATTGATTACACCAAGGAGAACTTTGAAGATCTGCCTGAGAAATTTGATGCAGTATATGATGCTGTTGGTAAGATTCTAAAACCATTTTATTTTTTCTTTCTTTGAAACTTTATTAAAAAGACTAAACATCTTCTATAAAGAGATGGGTGCTAATTTTAGGTTTAAAAATCTTCCTGATCCCCTTTTTTTTTTTTTTGGGGGGGGGGGGGGGTGTGGTGAAAAAAGGGCAAAGTGACAGGGCAGTGAAGGCAGTGAAAGAAAGTGGAAGAGTAGTGACAATAACAGGCACTCCAAGCCCACCAGCTATCCGGTTCAGGGTCACTTCAGATGGATCTGTTCTGGAGAAACTAAATCCTCACTTGGAGAGTGGAAAGATAAAGCCAGTGTTGGATCCAAAAGGTCCATTTCCATTTTCTCAAACTGTGGAAGCACTTTCATATGTTCAGACTGAGAGAGCTACTGGAAAAGTGGTCATATATCCAATTTCATGAAGAGAATTGATCAAATTTTTAAGAATATGCATGGACCCTCAGAAGTCTAGGTAGAGTCATCTGTGTTTGCTGTTTTATATTCACAGTTGAGCTTATTGTACAGTTTGCTTTTGTGATCCAGGGTGTTATCTATGCAATGTAATATACCAATTAAATAAAGGGTTTGTTTAAGAAGACAAAGTAAAGTTGCATTAATGGCACATTTTCTCTATTAATTTGCATTGACAATGACACATAAAGTTGTTTAACAACTACATTCAAAACAATGAAGGGGATTACACAGTTTCTTTTCTCTGATTTCATATTTCTAATAACTATCTATATGTAATATGACTCAAGCATAGAATCATTACCATCTAATGAAGAGAATTACACATTCAAACTGGTTTCTTTAACAATGAAATTATGATTTCATGTTTTATCATTGTTCCTCCTTTTGCCATTGTTATTACCTTCACATTTTTTATTCAAACTTATTTCTTTAACTCTAATTTATTTGTTTTCTAAAAATTATCTATTTTTTTTTTTTTATGATTTCCTTTTTTTTAAAATGAAGAAATCAAAATAAAAATCAAGAATTGAAGATGATTCCTAATTTTCTAGAGAAATTAAGTGACTATTAAGTATTAACTTCACTAAACTTCATTAATTTTTCTTTTTAATTTTATTTGTACTATTGTCTTATGTTTAGTTATTTGTTAACTTGTTTTTGGAGCCATTATGGACTTTCGCAATTGAAGGTGTATGCGTAATTGCGTATGTCATGGCAATAAGGATCCAGGCCTATTTTCATTGTGGGCTTTTTCTCCTGTCCCTTCTCTTCTCTATAAAAGTCAAATGGCACCTACCCTTTTCCGCCCACGTATGACAGAAAAATTATGCATATCTTCTGTTATGCTTCATGAATCACATGAAAATTATATTGTATTGTATAGAAACATTGTAGCTCTATATTTATGTGAGTCAATCTAGTTTCTTTATTGTAGTACGAAACCTATAAACAATTAGGGGATAACCGAGGAAACTATTGAAAATTTGAGAGTTCATCTTTTCAACCTGCTCTTCCTAAGCTTCCTTTCATGCGACACCCATCTACCTCCTCAGTTTTATTAATTCATTATTAGTTTTGTTGGATTAGTT